CGAAAAAACCGCRAAGTGGTGCAACGAAACGACTGGCGAAGTGCAATATGTGTAATCTGCTCGCTCAGGTTTTTTCATTTATCRGATATGTCAAGCTTTTTTAAATTAATACATTAWTCGAGAAAAAATCGCAAGATGGACAATTTTTTACCATTTGAAAATGTGTTGTTTTTAATTTGATTAATGCATACTAAAAAATGTTAAACTTTGTGATTCATTTAAAAATGAACTAAAGCGTATTGGAAATGTCGAGCTTTGCAATAAAGCTTTCTTAACTCAWACTAATAAATATAATATATCTTATCAGTAACCAGGGACCGAAATGATGAAAAAACTAATTTATATTCACAAGTTAATTCTCCAGAACTGAATTTTGAAAATTAGATACATTTACTATCAAATAGTCTTTTAGCACTTTAATATACTTTAATTTGATGCAGTTGGTGTAATTTATCGTTTTCTTTGAGTGTAAGTTTGATTCTCGTTAGGTTCAAATTTTAGCTAAAATAATGCTTTTAAATCATTTATTGTTTATTAATAATGGTGGTGTTCATATTTTGATCGATAGGTCTTTTCATCCATTTATAGAGAATATTTAAACAAAATTAAAGCCACATTTAAAGCAGCAATAAAGATAATTTTAAAGAAACTTAAATTATTTATATAAAAGACTAATAAAAAATGCATATGAGTAATAGCAAATCTGATATTTTCAAAATTAGATGAATGTTGCTGCGTTTTTTTAAATTTTACTAATAATCGTATCGCTGCGTTCGAGATCTGATTAGTTCTTCTGAGACGCATTTGATGCATCGCGCCAATCAATTAGAGCTTGCAGATCTTCACTTGACAAAACGTTGAGTTTATAGGGCGATTTGAAAAAACTTTTAGTGAATTTTTCAACGAAAACTAATCAACTTCGCTAGTTCTGAGTGGTTTATTTTCAAAAACCGACATTAAGGAAGTTTATTTTCAAATGCGTAAGCAATTTTCGAACAAGCTAATGGAATGTCCGATTGGTTCTTTGCGTTTTAGCTTAACTACGGTGAATATTTATCGGTTTTGCCGTAAGTGACCAATCACGACTTCGTTCACAACAGTTATCGGCCGGTTCTACATGCACAAAGCGCAAAATGCGATAGTGCATCTCGACGGAATGTTCATTAGCCCTCGGCAGTCCATATAGTTTTATGCTCGGATTGACCTTTCAGCTCAGAAGGTATTTCGTCTAGACAACTGAGATTCGATTACTAGAATCGACTAGAGCACCAAAGAGAACAATTCTTCCAACCCCAAAAAGTTGAAATTTGCGCCTAAAAGCCGGTATTTTCAGTTACTAACTAATTAGTGCTGATCGCGTATATGTTTTGCTTCATCAATTGGGCAATGGGATTATGAAAATCAGAAAATTACCAAATTTTGACATCGTACGATAGGGTAAAGACAGTTTATGCTTAACCGGCATTATTTTTTTTCGAAATTCTCATTGTCATATTGTAAAGGTACCTAATAAACGCAAATTTTAAAAATAAAAAGTTGCAGCGCAAAAAACAACGTTTTTCTAAAGAAGCCCTCTGTTTTATTTTAATTTGAATTTTTATGTAAATTTCAATTCATTGTTGTTATTTAAAATATAAAAGGTTTTCTTATCATAAATAAACGACACTGACAATATACGGGGTGTGCCATTTAAAACACTCTAAACTGAAAATACTCTACATTGAATGAATATTGTGAGCGCCCTGAAGTTTAAAAGGCAAATATTTTTCAACCAAGAATCAATAAAGTATCAGCTCTTGCCTTCTGCAAAATTTAAAAATTATGTGTCTGAAGACGACGGAGAAATTTTTGATTGTAAATGTGAAAACCTCAATTTTAACGGTGTGACGGCTGGAAAATGAGTGAGAAAAATTGGCCAAAATGGTTCTAATTGTCAAAAAGTATGCAATTGAACTAACGCATGATGATTGATAAAAGTGGACAATTTAATCGAGCTACTAAAGTGGGTAAAATGAATTGAACTGTTTTCCCTCTTAGCACGATAGAAGAATCTCAAAAAACATCGTTTTTCTAGAAAAAGCGGTATTCTTGTGGGTTAACTTTAAAATAACGAAAGCAAAGTTACAATTGATCTATCTAAACTACGCTGCTCTTTTTGCAAGAAACTGTCTCAACTTCTCCATCTTTTCCTTGAATTTTCAAATTAGTGGTTTATTCACTTCACCCCATAAAGTTTAACCATTTGGTTTGTTGCTTTTGCTCGGTCGTCAATTATCACTCTGCTAAATTGATTTTACCTGTTGAAACCAATTACCAACACGTCAATTAGCAATTAGACAGGGTTTACACAATAATCAACATTATTGGAATTCCCTTTTGGATAAAGTTATGCGCTTCAGCCTTGATTCTCGCTATTGAAACTCTTGGTCAGTAAAAAAGCGGCATGCTATAACGCAAAATTGCCTGCAATAATTTCGAAGGTAATGAGAATCTAAGGATCATACCAGAAAGTAACAATAGATTTTTTCATTTGCAATAAAAACAAATTTAAAGCGTGCATCATTATATATTCGCAAAGGGGAATGAAGAAACCCTGGCCGGAGGAGTCACTATTAACGATTAGGATCGAATTAGAAACGGAGCAGGAGATGGATGGTTCTCAATCAAGAGATCGAGAGATTCAAAGAAGATTCATAAATAAGTTTAGATATTTTTCGCATTTAAAAGAACCACGTTTGGGGTTTTCTTTTAAACTTTGTGTCTTCATTTGATTGCAGATCTCATCGCTAAACAATGCAGTGTCTGTCTGATTGTTTCATTTGGAATCGATAAAGTGTTTTCCCATGAGTAAAAATTTTAATATCTTTTTTCTGTTGTGTAGTCTAGTTTAACAGCATGGGAATTAAAAAGATGAACGGAACAAACGAATAAAGAAACATCGACTGAAAGAAGTAAGATGAAAGCGATGTTTTAGCCCATTTCGTGCTGTATGGAAATTATAAATGCAGCCTTTGTTTTATCAAAAATATCCACATTAAAAATGGGATTAATTATTAATTCGTTATTGCTGAAAAAATTGTTATTTTACATTAAATTATTATTTCAAAATTTGTTGATTTATTGAAACGATTTTTCTAAAATCACTTGCCAAATGTATACAAGCAAATTATAATAAATTTATTTTTGCTCACACAAGAAAGCAAAGAATTATACTGAAAAATTTCGCCCAGCAAATAGTGTTTAAGAACTCTTTCAGAAAATATTTTTCTTAAATCATGTAGTTGGAAGATTTAAGTACATTTATAGTACTTTTAGAGCTATTAATTAATGTACTTAATGCATGTGTGAATTTCATATATTTTTAAAAATAACAATCGGATAAGGAAACCTGCATCATTTGGGGCTTTTCGCATCTTAATTATTGTCAGGCGGATTTAAAAAATGACAAAGTTTTGTTATATTAAGCATTTTTTACTAGGAATGTTAACATTTAAAAATATTAATAAAAAAACGTTTCAAACTTAATAAGAAAATCTTAGATTAGTTTATTATATTATTATTATTCTCCATACTTTGTGTGTTTATATAATATGTGTTTCAGATTTTTTATTGTAAAAAAAAGTTTAAGTTGAAAGATAACATCATGCAGTGGAGGATTCAAAATGTTCAAATCTATCCCTCAAATTTTAAACTTCTCATACCAAATAAATATTGAATTTTCGTCAATTGCACCTCCATTCCAGTTGAATTTTCATAAAACTATAAAATACATTCTGATTCAAGCCAACATTTTCATGTACAATGTAAGTACATGTATGTAATGTAAGTACATAAAATTTTGAAGGTACACTTGTGCTTCTATATTTATACTTTACGATACGTTTTCAAACTTGCTTAGTAGTACCACGACTATATAAATTATACGACAGTTTAAACAAAAATGAATTAAAGTTGGTAAGAATGAAAACTCATGTTTTTAAAATTTTCTAAATCGAAAGCGTTAATTTTCTTGGTTCACTTTATATTTATTAATTGCTTTAACACAGCACACACTAATGTATTTTTCTACATTTTGCAAGCAGGTTGGAAAATACGGCACTTGTGGGTAGCTGAAACCTTCAAGACGTTGTTTTCAAATGCAACCGAAAAATCAATACGCAATTTTAAATTTCAACTAAGAACCTTTCCCGACATTTTGGCTAAGATTATTTAATAAAAAGGCTGTTTGAGCGGGTACTTTGGAGAACGTAGAGTTACTAAGAAAACGAAAAAAGAAACAAAGCTTGCGCTTACAAATCAATTAAATAGTCGTCAAATTGAAACAATAAATTAGTCGTAATAAAATAGTAATCGTTAACGCAACTTTCCGTGTTTATAAAGAGTTCGTTTCCCAATAACTGTTATTTTAAAATCGAACGCTCGACAAGGCTATTTTTCATACCTTCATTAAAAACTCATTAAATAACTTCAATTGAAACATAGACGAAATGTTACTTAAAACTGTACAAAGTAATGCGGACAATGACCAAACAACACAATTTTTGCTCAGTGAGAGATATTTGGTGACTTTAAATGTTGTTCGAGACCTAGCAGTAAAACAGCAACCACCAAAAGCTTATTGACAAATTTGTATACGGCAAGGAAATAACCATTTCGGTTTCATCATTAATTAGTCGAATTCCAATAAAGCATCATTACGAAAAGTATTGTTAATTTGCAAGAAACGATGTCATAAATTACGTTCGTTAATTGATATGTTTTCGAAGTTTGCAGCCCATTCGTTTGTCTACTAGTGACAAATTAATAATAATAATATCCAAATAAAATCGATTAGCGAACTGTTTTAGGTGTCCTTAATAGACAGTTGGTGCAAAGCAAGTATGATTAAAAACAAAGGAAATGGCACATCAGTTTTCCATTAAAAGAACAAGGTGAATTGCAGTGCAAACTTCAATTTCCTCATCAAGTTACACTTTTTAGGATGTAACTGTTTCCTGGGAAATAACTCATATAAATTATCAATCACTTTACTGAAACGTTACGGCACATATATAAATCTGTCGGCATTTTCTGGGCTAATTTCATATAATATGTAAATAAGTGCGAAAGAGTAAACGAGATACAGTAGCCGGTTTTAACACTTCCTGAGAGATAATTTCTACAGCGGATACGAACTGCGTAGATTAGAAGATGAGCCAATACATTCACGCGGGAAGTCAATTACTGACCGAAATTATATGAAAATAGTACAAAAATGAAATAGAGCGTTCACGAATCAGGAAGATTTTTATTGTGTAAGATCAGAAGTCTTCTGGTATAGTAAAAGCCGCCAGTTGAACGCCATCTTGCAAGAACCGGAGCAATATTTGTTGGTTCCTTGGTTCTGTTCTAGACGGTTTAAGAAGTAGAGACGTAGCACGAAGTGAGGCGAAAGGCGGCAAATGGCAGCAGGAAGGTCACGGACGGTCGACTTGGTGCTGCAACCTTCCATCATCTTCTTAATCACCTCGGTACGAAGAGTGCAGGAGAGAAAGCGTGCTCTAAGCTCGTGCTTTAAGAAGATTAATGCTTTACGGTTTATTGCTCGACGAAGAATCTATACTTTTAGCTACAAGCAGGCAGTGCCTCAGTTAAAATAAAAACAAATTCTTAAAGAATATATCGTCACTCAAACGTAGGAGAGTTTCGAGAAGATACACCTGCAAAGCTTTCCAAACCGCACACTTGAACCCAACTTTTTCTCGCAATTTTTCTTTAATATCTAAATATTGTGATTAAAAGTAGTCCAAACCAACACATCTAGTCATTCCTCCGTCGTACATCTTTCGAAATTTATAAGTCACACTTTGGTTACACCAATTAAATACAAGGGTCGTTAAGGGCATCGGGTAAAAGTTTTCTACCAAACCCGTGAAACATTTTTATGAAATTCTCCAGGTGTGAATAGGTATTGAGTGACCAGATTTCTGAAAAAATGAAAGAGTTTTTGGTTCAACAGTGGCGCACGTACAGACATGAGATTAAAATATTTTTGAATAAAAAAATACCGCGCCACTGGACAACAAAACTAATTATCCCGTTTAATTGCTTGTTCAATTCCAAACAAAACACCTCTCTCGAGTTTTCTTCGTATAATGCATCGTTTTTTAGTAGAAAATTCAATATGATCAATTCAAAGTTTGAATTAAGATATAACTGTTGGTAGAAGGATTCTAAGACGTGCATTAACACGATTTTTATGTTTTTTACTCGAAATAAATGCGCTCTACAAATAAAAATCAAGGCTTTTTGTTAGGAATTGAATAAGCCATGAACAGGAAAAAACATTTTTTGAAAAATCAGTGGCGCACTCTTTTTTCCTCAAAAATATTGAAAGTCATCCCGCATGTCTTCCCCATCTGCAAAATTTTATTTAAATATCTCAAGCGGTTTCGGATTTATTGAAATTTTTTTCGTTTTTTACGAAAACTTTAATGCCGTCCGTAAACCTTCGAAACAATTCCTTTAAGAGCTCTCATGTATGAGCTTTTCTTCTTGCACCAACGTCATCAATCACCTTCTGAAGATTGTCAGAGTACCTACTTTCGAATCGCCCAGTATAGATGATATTATAACCCAACAATAAAGCTAGTAATATTTTAGATTTTGGAAAGGTTCAACCGTAGAATTGTAATTGAAAAAGCAAATATTTTCCGTTTTAAATGATAATCATTTTAAAAAAATGTTCTGTATTCGTTGTGTTCTAAATAAAATCCTTGAAGAGTACCTGAGGTCATGTGCTAGACATATCTCAACAGAAAGCCACGTCTGAGGCTCTACCAGTTAGCAAATATTTACGAAAAAGTCTAGATAAATGATCTCGCAATAAAGCTTACCAAGATAACGCTTTTCACATCTGCAACGGGGACGAGTTTCGAGAAAACAAGAAACGCTCTGTGTATTTACCGAGGGCACAAGAAATACGTGTAATATATTTATTTAGTCATGACTTAGCCTTATCACCGCATTGGGCCTTATCGTCTTCAAGGATTTACTTTCAGATAAATCGGTGTGAAAAAGGCAGTTTGATGAAATCCCAAGTATCTTGTCTTTCTGTTAAAACTTCGAAAAAACCAATTTACACGATTGTATTTTCTGCTGCAACATCAGTTAATCAATCACGCAAAATTTGAAATATGTGAGTTAATTGACTGTAAAACCTCGACTCAATCTGACGGGAAAATTCCAATCAAAATGTACCTTTACTTGGTGTTATCTTTGACAAACAATTTTTTAAATGGTACCATTGAAAATGTGACTCGGTTATCAGGTCATTCGAGTCACTAAAACCATGTACCGAATTATCATTGGACAAATGGCTCCTTTATCGTCATTTGCTTTTAGAATACAAGCGAGCTTTCAAGATGCCATTGTATTGGTGTGTCTTCTTATTTAAGCTGATCTGACTTTTTATTTGAGAAAAAAACTCCGGCTCCACCACTAAATGATCAATTTATTCAAATCATGATTTTCCAATTTTTCTGGCGTTTTATAACATTTGCAAAAATCTTCTAAGAATTGCTGTGTAGAATTAATCGCTCTTCTTCCGAAACTTGAACTATTGCATGGCTAAAAATGCAATGTTATAAACAATGCCTGACCATATTGGGAGATGTAACTCGTCGTTCTATAGAAAAAACTGATTCAATTCAATACAGTTGTTGAGATAAACTATAATTTAACCCAGTGATTCACAGCCATATGAATTATGCAGTAATTTTGTAATAATCGAGAGAGTGAAAGGATTAAAGTCTATTCCTACACTATTATTGCAATAAATCTGCATGCAATCGTGCAGTTTCCTTAAATAGTTCGAATTCGAAGTGTTTCCCCTTATAAGACAACTATTGAAAACGTCCCGTTATGAAAGAATAATAATTATTTTAATTGTTTAATTATCGTGTGTGAGAATTTCGATAATATGCAGAGGATAATATTTTACATAAATATTAGCTGGATAGTCAAAGGCAAAYGGCTGACTTTAATAAATATTCAGAACGTATACATCAGTTTACAGATAAGAACAAATTTAATMTAATTGTTGCTTTAAGCACAGGGCATTTAAAAAAACAGGCACTGTTTCTTGGGTAAAAAGTTCTATTYAATGTAGATCAAAACCTTCTTTATTGTTATMTCGTTCGTATCAAAAGTTCTTCAATTTCTCAGGAATCATTTTTGAGAAAACTTGAAAAAGACAACCGAACCACTTCTTTTGAAATTCAGTGAACTMARTGAACAGGAATAAAAATTGRGATTGGCAAAAGACATTTTTAAACATTGATAATTTGAGAAGWATCAGAAGAATAAAAAAATYTCTCTAGACACTGATAATTGCAACTCTCAGAATCCATTAACATTTTGGACTCAGGTTGTTTCATTAGAGCTAAAGTAAATGAGCGAGTTTGCAAACCGTTTCCAATTTAGCAAAACTCTTTTTATAACATTTTCTCCTAAAACACCGACAAAACAACAAGACAAACAAGACAAAAACGTTTCTAAACCGCATCAGCAGTTGAATTGCTAAAACCCGTTTAGAAGCGCAGAAAACTCTAGATGGTTTAAAGAAAACTACAATTTTAAATCATCTATACCTTGCAGCTGCGAAACGAACCTTTCCAAATTGAACTTTCTGCCTATTTTCTAGTTTCAGCTCTACGTGTTTGAAATAAAACTCGAGATTTAGTAAATGTTCGTGAAACACCATGTGGGAAAAAAGTTATTTTACCTGCGCTCTTCACAATCAACTCACCTACATCCTCTGTAAACGTTTTTTGCGATCTGTAAACTAGACTGCTATTGTTAAAGCAAAAAAGTATATATTGAGAAAGTTGGTTCATCTTCTGTTTAACATACTGATGGCCGATATCTTTAATAATATGCCTGTAGCCGTCCATATGGCAAGCGAACAATTTTAAGGTACTTCTGCTTAAAAATAACTAAGCAGTAACGTGATTTTGATCAAACTGCCAGTAGGATTGCTCATTAGCGTTCTATCAAGGATAGCGTGATACTGAGCAACTTGTTAAACTATTTATTGCCGGCAAATTACTACCGAGAAGGTTTGTGAGAAATCGTAAAGCCTTTGAACATTACCAAGAATCATCAGTTTCAATAGAATTCAATGTTTCCGCAATTGTACGTATTTGTAAGTGAAGCCAGGCAGCTAAACCATGCCAAACTTAAATTGATGGTTTGGCTATCTGAAGCCATTATATGCATATTAATTATGGTCATGCAAAGAGTCCGCTTCATTATTCCATTTAAAAATTATTAATTGGAACACGTAGAACGTGGAACAAATTAATATCTAGTCAGTGAAATATATGGCCCTGTCTTCCTCCGAATTAATGTTAACATTAGTTTTAATGTATCGTGCAATAACCAATTAGTTCACATGTAATGCGTAAGGAATTGCCGTAGCTTGCACTGATTAATGCGTTTTTTATGATGATTTTAGGCAATTTTTCTCCAGCTATGTGGAACAAGTTTTCGGTATTTACATATGAAGCAGGTAACCGGGGTATCAGCGTGCGTAACTCCGTAATTTGAAGTTTTTATTATCTTTAAGGTTGTTCTTTATAGTTCCGAAAATTACAGACCTGAATTCCGTTCTTCAATTAGACGAATTTTAAAATTCATAATTCTTGCAGACAACCAATAACCATAACCATTTTCGGTTAAACCATTCACAAAACATTGTCTTATCCGGATTAGTTCCTAGATATTGGACCAGTTTATGAACAGATTTACCAGAAGAAAGTATTTATTAGCGTTAATCAATAAAAAATATATATTAAACCTTCTAACTATTCAAAGTAAATCAACCGACTTTTTTTAATATCGATTTTTAGGAAAATAAACCGTGTCGGTTCCCAAGTATTATTTTTGCCACAAAAATAGCTACTTTCAAAGTATAATGTACGACTTTCTAGCATGATTCGTAAGATTGCACGGCACTTTTCAAAAACTGCTGTAAAATTCAGCATAATTTATTAGATGCGTTTATCAGAAGATTCACCAGAAAAAAATTTTTAGGGCGTCAATAAATAATTAAAAAAATGTTAAACCTTCCTCAAAGACATTCCGATAAACAGGGCTTTAAAAACAATAAATTTGAGCCGCTTCTAACTATTCAAAGTAAATCAAACGACTATATTTTTAAATAGATTTTTGGGAAAATAAACCGTGTCGGTTCCCAAGTATTATTTTTGGCAGGAAAATAGCCACTTTCAAATTAAAATGTACGACTATCTAGCATGATCTCGTAAGATTGTACGGCACTTTTAAAAAAACTGCTGTGAAATTGAGCATAACATATTAGATGGGTTCACGAGAAGATTCACCAGAAGAAAGTATTTAGGGCGTCAATAAATAATAATAAACAGGGCTTTAAAAACAATCAATTTAAGCGGCTTCTAACTATGCAAAGTAAATCAAACGACTTTATTTTTATATGCATTTTTAGGAAAATAAACCTTGTCGGGTCCCAGGTATTATTTTTGGCATCAAAAT